CCTATTGAACTCTTGACTTTTTGAAAAAATATTCTTTGCCTTCTAAATCAGTTCTTCCATCACAAAAAAACCCCACTACCATTCTCTTATTATATCTAAATATAGTTTAGTTTATTCTTTTTGCTTAAATAAAAAGGTCTTTTATTTTGTGACCTTTTTGACATTGGTTGGCATTAAGGCACTCCCATGGTGAAATTTTTTTATATGCAGGCACATGAATTTTAATTATGCCATCACATTCTATTTAGTGATTTGTCCAAGCCTGCTTGAAATGACAACTGAGGAATGTACATACTAGCTTCTAGTTTCTTGTGCAATGATAGTGATAGGCTGGTGATCCACTTTGCCAAATTTATTCTATTTTTTTAGAGAAAACTTTTCTATTTATTCTATTTATTTAGAGAAAACTTTTGTTATTTAAATCTCAGGTTGCATCCCAGTGTCCAGAAGAACCCATGTTGGATTTCTTGGCCATAAATTATACGATCATCCTATTCCCTTTATATTTGCTCTCCTAATGAAGGGGGAATAATAAAGATATTTTGTGTCCTTCAGCCCCCCTGCAGGGAACCCCCCCTTTTCCCGTACTATCTGAAATGTCATACAGGGAATGGTAGTTGGGAGAGTGAGGCAATGGAGAAGGAATTATGAGGTAATTTTCCCTTTTCCTTTTCCTTATGGATAGAAGAATTAGTCATTTTCCCACATCTTGTTCTGCCAATTTTGTGTCTAGAGCCCAAATAGGATTTAGGTTAGTCCACTGAATGACTCCAGAGTTAGGGAGGTTTCCTGTCAAGTTACGGTTTATGGGAAACCCTAGCAGTGGATTCACCTATCAGGGAAGGAACGATGCCTAGCCATAGCCTGAAAAATATCTATGCATTTATGCAAGCCTTCTCTAGCCTCAGCCCCACTTTGGAAAAAGCTCCATCAGATCAGGAATTTTTTTGATAACTGCATCAGGTTCAGGGTAGTTGGCTTGTCAGTAGGGAAACGCAGGGTGGTATAATGGAAAGAATGCAAGATACAGTTGTGAGAGCTGGATCTGAATTGTGCCTCCAAAACTATGTGACTGAGTAAAACAGTTAACCTCTAAAGTTACTATCATCTGTAAATTGGTGTAACAATATTTGTACTAACTACTGCAATAGGCTGTGAAGAAAGTGTTTTACAAACCCTAAAGCAGTTTAGTAGTGTGTTATTAGTGCTGTCTTCTTGCTAATATATAAAACAAGTGGTTTGTCTTTGAATACTTTTATTTTTTTGATTTCCTTTTGTTGAGAAGACTGTCCTTTTTCTTATCCTTATTGGTCTCTGTTCAGATGTTGGTTGATGACTTAGGCAATATGCCTCATAAATTTTAGTGGCTTCACTGTCTGGGCTGCTATATTTTATTAACAGAGGCTCTAGTAAATCCTGTGAAGGCAATCATAGATCTCCAACTATGGTGAGGTGATGTAGATTCTGCTACTGCAAAGGGACCAATAAATGTTTTGGATCTGATTCTGAAGATTTCATTCCACCTAACCAATTCTGATCTTCAGGATTATGGGCTATTTGTTCACTCCATGGTATTTCTATTCTTTCCTTAGCAGGAACCACTACAAACTCTCCACGTTGTAACTAAATATAATTCAGTGAATGAATGAGAACTTGAGCAGTGTGAACTCACAGAGAGCCAGTCCTTCAAGTGATAATGAATTTGGCATTTTCCCCATTACATCTTTAATTATATGCATGTTGTATCCCTGTGCTTCCACAGTGGTTCCCTTTTCTTTCCACTCCTCCAAAGCTGTCCCTACAATTCTACTTGGATTTGAATCTTGATTAAGCAATTTCACTTGTCAATGAGTTTCCAGTTCTTATATTGTCTTCTGAGTAGGAAAAAAGGAGGGATATATAGGATCCATGAGGAGGGATGGAGTAAGCATTTATATAGTTCCTACTATGTACTAGGCACTGTGCTAAGTATTTTCAAAAATCTCAGAACAACTCTGGGAGGTAGGGGCTATTATCCCCAATCTACAATAGAGAAAACTGAGGCAAACAGGTTAAGTGACTTGCTCAAGGTCACAAAGTCAGTAAGTGTCTGAGGCCAGATTTGAACTTGGGTATATCTTCCTGACTTCAGGCCCAGTGCACTGTCCACTGTGCCTCTAGCTGCTTCTGCCAGTGAACTACATTCTTCTTTCTCCCTTGACAATTTCATTCCTTCTATGAGTTTAATTGTTAGTTTTATGCAGATGACTCAGAAATCCATACATACTGTAATCTCCTAGAGCAATGCCCCTGCAATATCCAGCTAGCTATTGGACATTTCCCTATGGCTATCCCACTGGCACACCAGTCTCAATATGTACATCTTTCCCTGTCTAAACCTGGTCCTTGTACCATTTTCTCTGTGTTCATGGCACCACAAAATTGTGAAAGTGCTAGATTTGGAGTACAGAGGACCTATGGTTCAAATTCCTTCTCTGACACTTAGGAATAAAAAGATTTTGGACAAGTCATTCTTCTATGGGCCTTGGTTTCCTCTTACAAAGTAGGATTTGACAAGATGAACCATAAGGCCTTTCACTTTAAGTTCTATGAACCTATGACCATTATACCAGAATTACTATTTTTCATATGCATTTTCAGTCAGCCAATAAACACTAAGTGCCTACTATCCCAGGCATTATGTCAGGGATATAAAGGAAGTTAAAAGTTCCTATTGTACAAACAAGCTATATGTGGGATAAATAGGAAATAAGAGGAGGTGATCCTGGGATCTCAAAGGCTATTCTAGTAAAACACAAGCCCTAGAAGGTTCTATAACGTTGGAAAGGCTTTGAGTATGGTCCCAAACACAGAACAAGTCTGCTTGCTAAGGACTCACCTATCTAATGACCAGTAGATAGGCACTTGGTGGTAATTTTCTTGGCAACCTACAAAGCAAAGAAAAAATACAAAATGGCCCTTACTCCCATGTAGCCTCCTTCCAATAATATTGTAATGGTGGCAGACTGGTGGAGAAGGCTTTGACATAAATGCACTGATATTTTTAAGGCCATGGCTAGGCATCTTTTCTTCCCTGATAGGGAAATCTGTGACGAGGGTTTTCCATAAGCTTTAACTTGATGGGATACCTTCCTAGCTCTGGACTCATTCAGTGGAGTAACCTAAATCCTATTTGGGCTGTAGGCACAAAATTGGTGTAACAAGATGTAGGAAAATGACCAATTCTTCTGCCCACGAAGAAAGGGAAAGTAGAGGTGGGAGAGGGTAATGGAATGTTCACTGTGACACCTTACAAACCCAGATATTCACCATTATTGCTCCCTTCAAAACTACCTCATACTTCCTTCTCCCTGTAAATTGACTCATTTTTTGATACTCTATACTTTCTCAGTTCCCTCAGTTGCTTCTTCCTCATGATTGGAAAGTTAGAGGGTGGAACAATAAATTCTGTCCAAAACCTTCCTTTATAGAGGGCTTAGGACTTTCAGAACTTTCCAAGTAACTTCATTTTCCATCAGCAGTTCTGTTTATTTTGACTCTACAGAACATCATATTCCTACCCCCTCCTCAACCCTCTCAGTTTATTTTTTAGGTGTCATCTTCCCCCGTTAGATTGAACCCTCCTTGAGGGTAGGGATTGTGTGTGTGCATGTGCATCTGCGTATTGAATTACAAAATACTTTTTCACCTGGGCATCTAGATGGTGCAGTAGATAGAGCCTGGGCTTGGAATGAGGAAGACCTGAGTTGAAATTTGGCCTCAGACACTTACTGACTATATGACTCTGGGCAAATCACTTAGCCTGTTTCCTTAACTATAAAAAGGACATAATAACAGTACCTACCTCCCAGGTTGTTGTGAGGATCAAATAAAATAATATCTGTAAAGTGCTTAGCATAGTGCAGGTACTGCAGTAGGCTCTATATAAATACCACCTTTTAAGAAATGAAAAACAAATAGCTGGAGGACTCTTAGTACTTATGACTGGACAGTTGTATCTATGTTGTATGGCTGGAAGTCATGGAATGCTAGTCTCCAAAAAGTGAAAAATTACTATTAAACAAAGGCAGTGGAGAAATGAAACATAGATGTGAGCAGACTGCAACATATAATAAATCAAGGGTTTTAAAAAAGAATTGGAGTAAACATGATTAGAGAAATATATGATTGAAAAAGAACATGGGCTGGTCACATGGCAAAAATGAGAGATAACTGTTGAATAGTCCTAATATCCTCAAGATGGGTGGTCTCTATGTGATGAACTTATGGGAGGAGATGGACAAGAGTCATACAGTATAGATAAGAATGGATGAGTTGCAGTCTGTATCAGTTGGAGGAAACAATCACTTTGATGAGATCAGAGATCCATTTGAATATTTGAGTATGAATCAGTTCATCAATTTATCTAAAATTTTCCTCATCTCAGTTCAGTTCTCGTCAAAATTCTCAGGCTTAAGGAATTTAAAAAATTAAGCTACTATGTATAGGAAAATAGAATATATTTTTATTTATACTTAAGGGACTGGGATGTATATGTAATAGCCAGGGGTTGAGATATTGCTCAAGCGCTCAGTGGGCAACTGGATATAAAGAAGAGTAGAGTAGTTTTGAAAGGTATCCCTCTTATTCCATGGGAGTGTGAATTCACCCCTCTGTAGCTTTAAACATTTATCTTTCAGTATATCTTTAGTATGTGCCTGAAAGGGTATGTCTCACTTGGGGCTTCTTAAGTCTCCCAATAGAGTGATACCTTTGAAAAGATCTCCATTCTCAAGTTAAGAAGTGGAACATTTCATTCCCAAGCAGATGAAGTAGACATTGGGCAGTTGGTAGTGGTGGAATATGGGTATTGAGGATGAGACCTTTCGCTTTCAGGGAGGTTGGACAGGGACCAGTGGAGAAACTTTCACCCACTCATAATTAAGAAATCAAGGATATTTTAAAATTTATTTTTTATTGCTCTCCTTTCCTCCATTACCCTCCTCCCCGAATAATGTGGTGTTTGTCAAGGTCTGGGTTTTATCCCCTGTACTCAGTCTGTAGATGGTAAGCTTAAAGACCCCTCATCACAGTGGGTACCATGGTCTCTTCTCCGCCACAGAACAAGCCTTGAGTGATTTTTAGACAGTTCTGGAAATCAAGGAAATTAAGAGGTGTCCTGACTGGGTTTCTGGCTAGAAATCAAGGAAATTAAAAGGTGTCCTGACTGAGTTTCTGGCCTACATTTAAATCAGTCTTCCTCCCTTACAAAGAAGGCTACCTAATTTAAGTTGCCAGCTCTGTTGCTGGAAATTAGAGGCAAAGGACTTCTAGGCATCCCTATTACAATGATGCTGTCTGAGGTCAATAAAGCCTTTGAAATAGAAGGCATAATTTCTCAAGTAAGGTAAAGGCAGCAAAGGGCTATGGTTTTTGTATCCCTAATGCCTTGTGCCTGATAACTGCTTGTTGAATATTTGTTGAATTAAGTTTGAACTAGTGAACTACTTACTCACTTGCTCAGCCCAGGTTCACTGAATGATGATGAACTGAAGGCAGGACCCCTTAGATAGGAGAAAAATGATTATTTTCTTATTAATAACCAATTTTTTAAAAATGCACCCATCTAGAGATTTAATATAGCAATCACAAGTAATCTAGATACCAGAGTCAGAATAGTTTCTTTTGTGTTTAGGTGCTAAAGAGACAGCATAACGTACTGGAGAGAGAGGGCCATCCTTAAAGCCAAGAAGTTGTGTCTGCCTCATCATAATCCCATTTGGTGTTTCCTTGGCAAAGATGCTGGAGTGGCTTGTCGTTTCCTTCTCCAGCTCATTTTACAGATGAGGAACTGAAGTAAACAGGGTTGAGTGATTTGCCCAGGGTCACCCAGCTAGTAAGTGTCTGAGGCCAGATTTGAATTCAGGAAGATGAATCTTCCTCACTCAAGGTCAAGTGCTCTATCCACTGTGCCACCTATCTGCCCCAATAACCAATTTTCAAAGCCCAGTCCTTGTGAACGACTAGGCTGACAATGAAACGTTCTTCTCAATCTTGGGTAAGACCCTACTCAACTGGGAGAGCTTAGTTCTGATTAAAGAGTAAAGAGAATTTTATCTAGATGGAATTATTATTATTATTTTTTTTTGGTGAGGCAGTTGGGGTCAAGTGACTTGCCCAGAGTCACACCAGTAATGAGTGTTATGTGTCTGAGGCTGGATTTGACCTCAGGTCATCCTAACTCCAAGGTTGTGCTCTATCCATTCTACCACCTTGCTGTCCCTAGGTGGAATTCTTACCACCACTCTGTTCTAATCTGATAAGAGTGGGTAGAGAATAGATCCTTTTGTATAGATTGCCTGAGGCAGGAGTAGCCCTCTCATTTCATTTTAAGGTCTTTTTTAAACTAATGCCTTCAGATATGGCCAATGTGTTTAATTGTTTTACTTGACTGTACTCATTTGTTATGAGGGAATACTTTTATTTAGGGATGGGGAATGAGTTAGTGCATAATAATAGTGGTGTGAAAAGGAAAATCAAAATCAAAATATTTTAATATACACAAAATATAAGAATTTCAGAAGAAGACACAAATAGGACATTTTATTTTTGCTATGTCAAATTTAATATATACTTAAAAACTTCACATAACAGAACTTCTTGGTTTTATATAGAGTCCTTTTTTCTATACTAAAATGTTCATGTTCATTGATAATTACATTTATAGTAACTACATTTATAATAATAACTATATAACTACATTTATAATAGTTACATAGATAATACTCTTTGTAAAAATTATCAGTTTTTAATTTAAAAAGTCATCTTGTCCAACTCTCCATTTTACCAGTGAGGAAACCAAAGCCTAGAAAATTTAATAAAAATACAAGCAAAAAAAGAGACAGTTTCTGCCCTCAAGGAGCTTTCATTCTCTTGGGGGAAGTCAACACATAAAAGGAAGCTGAAAAGGGTGGAAAAGGGGGATAGTGTTGAAATCCAGAGAATCAGAAAGAAAAGTAGTTTAGTTAAGTTCAACTAGAATTCTTGGAAGAGATGAAGCTTTAGTTCAAAAAAGACCTTAAAAATGAAATGAGAGGGCTAACAAAAGAAAAAGGAAAAGAAATAAGAGCTATGGAACAAAGAATTGGAAAGAGAGCTAACTACTTAGCAACAGGTTCAAAACTTTATCCAAGGAAAAAACTTGCTGAGATAATGATTCCATGAGACAACAAGAATGTTAAACCAAAGTCAAAGAACTGAAAAAAAAAAATAGAAGAATCTCATAGCAAAAACAAGTGACCTGGAAAATAGATCGAGGGATAGTTTAAGAATCATAGGATTATCTAAAAGCCAAGACTGAAAAACAGTCTATATATATTTCAAGAAATCAAAAAAGAAAACTTTTCAGATCTCTTGTAACCAGAAGGCAAAGTAGAAACATGAAGTATCTACCTCCTAAAAAAAATGAAAACTCTCAGGAACATTATAGCTAAAATCCAGAGCTCCCAGGTCAAAGGGAAAATATTGCAAGCAACAGAAAGAAGAATTCAAGTACCAAGGAACCATGGTCAGGATTCCAGAAGATTTAGCAACTATCACTAAAGCTTTGATTTCCAGAAGGCAAAGTATATAGGCTTACAACAAAGAATAACTTACCCAGAAAAACTGAGTATAATTCTACAGGGGCAAAAATGGATTTGTAATGAAAAAGAAGACTTGTAAGCATTTCTTATGAAAAAACTAGAACTGCACAGAAATTTTGAAGTGCAAGTAGGAGTCAAGAGAAACAAGACTAAAAAATAATGTTTACATTCTAATATGGGGAGATGATACACATGTCATTTCATAACCCAATTCTCATCAAGGGTCATAAAGGAAGTGTAATTAGAGTGATTGTTATGTTTTGATAATCTTAGGAGAATGGAAAGGGAGAGGAAGAAGAATACATAAGGGACAGAGGAAGGAGGAGGAAAATTATCTTACGTAATTGGGGTGCACAACTAAGAGTTTATATATACAAGGAAGAAGGGGTAGAGGGAGTGCTTGATACTTGAACCTCACTCTGATCTGAACTGGTCAAAAGAGGGAAAAATACACATACACAGAGTTGAGTGCAGATATACATGTCACTCAACAGGGAAATAAAAGGGGGAAAATAGAAGGGAGAAGTGGGAATAAAAGGGTAAAGTAAAGGAAGGATTAGTCCTAATCAAAACAAAATCTAAAGATGTACAAAAATACCTGTATCGGCTCTTTTTTAATGGTGGCAAATAACTGGAAATTCAGGGAATGCCCATTTATTGGGAAATTGTTGAATGAGTTATGATATATAAATATGATGGACCACTAGTGTGCTATAAAATGATGATGATGGGGATATTTTCAGAGAAACTTGGAAAGTTTCTGGTGTAGATTGAGGTAAGCACAGCTAGGAGAACAGTTTATACAGTGACAACATATTGTAAAGACAAACAATTTTGAAAGATGAGGAGCTATGATTAACACAGTGACCAACTGTGATTCCAGAACACTCATGATGAAACATCATACCCACTTCCTGATGGAGAGGTGATGGTTCGTAAACTATAAAAAACCGATTCAACTTTACCTTTTTAAAAATTTCAGTATTCTGTACTGTGGATTCAAATATGCTAACATTTTTTTCTTATTTTAGAGTTCCTGTGACCATATTCATTCATTCATTCAATTACATCAAATTTTTGTTCTAATGTAATAACAAGTCTTTTTTAGTGTGTATTGGCAGCATTTCTATCTGAGGGATTCTGCTTTTCCCCCATTTGTTAAGGGCTTAAAATAAATTTACACAACTGTTGGTGATATGGTATGTGGCAGTATATCACATCCATATGCAGTGATAGGAAAGTGCAACATCTAGCAGTAATTGAATTTTGACTTGCATTAAATGTGACCTGCTATCATTTTAATTAACACCAAATTGAATTTTTTACTATTTGAACTTGCATTAATCAGAATGAAGCAGTAATAAAATTGAAAGGAAAAGACCATTGGATTGATAAACAAAATTAAAAGCTTTTAAAAGGAGTTAATAAAATAAACACTGACTATAATTTTTTTTAAAAAATGAGATGAAAACTAAATTGTTCCTATCAAAATTAAAAAGAATTCACAATAAATTTTTATTACTTTATTTTGTCTTTAGTTGTTGGGAATTCTCCCTTTTCATGCTAACAAAACTGGTAGAGGAAGCAGATGAATTCTTAGAAAAATATAAAATACCTAAATTAACAAAAGAAATAAACTATTTAAATCACTAATATCAGAAAAAATTTGAACAAGCAATAAGTGAGCTCCCAAAGGAAAAAAGATCAGAGACCAGATGGATTCACAAGTGAATTCTATCAAACATTAATTCCAATTATAATTACAAACCATGTAAATTGTCTGTAATAATAAGAAAAGAAAGTACTCTCCCGATCTTTTCTATGATATAAATATGTTCTTAATATCGAAACCAAAGAGAAACAAATCAGAGAAATAAAATTACACAGCACTATCCCTAGTGAATACTAATATAAAAAATTTAAATAAAATATTGGCAAATAGGTTTCATCAATTTATCAGAAAGATTACATAATATGACCAGGTTGTGTTTGTACTAGGAATTCAGAGTTGGTTCAACATAAGGAAGACATAAATATACCATAATAGACAATGTTAGAAATATGAATAAATAGCATGAGATTATATAAATAGATGCAGAAAAGTCTTTTAACAAAATCCACTTGTTTCTGTGAAAATCTAGAAACCATAGGAATAAATGGATCTTTGCTTAATATAATAAATTATATAATTTTAAATCTAGGAGCTAACATTATACGTGTGTGTATATGTGTGTATGTGTGTATAGACGTAGATAGATAATGGAAAAAAGTTAGAGACCTTTCCAGTAAGATCAAGGGGAAAGCAAGGATGCCAATATCAACAGTACTACATAATAATGTACCAGAAATGCTACCTTCAGCAATAATACAGGAAAAAGAAATTGAAGGACTATGCATAGACAAAGAGGAAATAAAATGATCAATTTCTGCATATGATAGGATAGCGTACCTAGAGAATCCTAGAAAGTCAACTAAAACTTAATTCCAACGATTAATAAATTCAGCAA